AGTTTCGAACCGCTGACCTTAAGGTTCGCAGCCCAATTCGTAACCACTACGCTACCAGAGCTCCTTACTTAAAATCCTACAACTTTAGAAATGGACAGGGGACAGAGAATCTAATCCCGAAGCCAAATGTTTAATGATAAGGGTTGATAGGATTTGATTTGCATCTCGTTAAAGACCTTTATCACCACCAACGGTACTGTGTTATGGGGGATGGAGTTAAGAGACTATTAAACCAAATGAACGAAAATTAGGGCCAGAACTGCCCCTTTCCCCCTTAGGGGGATGTGGTATGAGACTGTAGGGACTAATTTGAGCTGCTATTTTGTTCTATTCCTAGCAGGTAATTTCAGAGTGGCCAAGAGATACAATTTCTAAACAAATAATTTTCCCCCCAGGAATGATACGTGTCAGATAGACCTACGGCTACGCAATGTACCTAACATCTTTCAGGCAGTATTAAAAAGATAAATAAATAAGTCGTTTTCTACCTCATGTAGTAAATCTCTTTTTGCTGCAATTGTACAGGTTTGCCTAGATTTACAGCAAATGGCAGCGCAGTAACAGCTCCCGGGGTATTAATTATCACATCATTAAAACAAATTTTCCAGCGTTGACAAGTCCCTTCAGGCTGTCTTGAGAGTGCGAGGTTCGGAGCCAGGCGTGGGGGTGGTTCTAAATTTGTATGTTTTTGGAACGAGGGACAGTAATAGAGCAGCAGAGACCCAGCGGTCTCCACAGTCCACGGGTTCGATGCCTGGCGCCCTCAGCTCGGGGGTGCGGGCGGGGGCGGGGGCAGGCACTCTTAAACAGCTTGGGACCACGTGGTCACCGGCCAGCTCCGCAACTGGCCCTCAGAGTCTCTCACTTGGCTTTGGCGCCGAACGTTTCCCCCCTTGTGGACGCTACCATTGGCTCCACGCTCGGAGGGGGTAAAGTCCAACTTCACGGCCAAGACTTTGAAGCTTCTGGTTAAATCGCAGGAAATATTCCGCTATAACTTTCTAAAATCTAATGTAATCCAACCAATAACGATGTAGAAGGCTTGCTTTGATAACAAGGAAGAGCAGTTTTGACCCGGGCTACTCCTACACTCTATTGGGGCCTCCAGAGTGGTTCCGCCCGAGGCGCGCGCTCCGCCTCCACGGGCGCCGCCATTTTGTTTGGCTTGAGGGGAGTGAGCGGCGCATTAGGGGAGTGGTCTCGTGGGCGCCTCACCAGACCTCCCGGCTGTGGTGCCGGAGCTGCTCCGCGGGGAGGCTTTCTCCCCGGTTCGGGGCGCGGAACCATGTACATAAAGCAGGTAAGGCCTGCGCACTCGTCTTGCCCCTCGCCCGTCCGTGATAAACGCTCCGTGAGGCGGGGGTGTCCCTTTGCGACCCGCGGCCTCGCACCTCTCCCAACGTGCGGGTAAACCCCAGGGCTGGCCGGGGGCGTGTGGGGGAGGGGAGAGAGGGCCCACGGGGACCCAGGGAAAAGTGGGGCGCACGCCTCTGCAGCCCGGCCCCCTCGCGGGGCTCTTGTCTGAGGGAAGCCGGATTTCGGGGAGGTAGGGAGGGCCCGGGGCGCCCGCCGGGAGGGCTTCGAGCTGGCAGGACGCCGGGCCGCGGGGAGCGGGCAGGGCCGTGTGATCCTGTCGGGGTGGTCGGACGCGCGTGTGAGGGGGCTGTGGGGAGCGCGGTCTCTTCCCCCGGGACCCCTTTGGGGGTGTCGGCTGGAACCGGGGACCTTTCCCCTCACGGGTTTCCCGGAGACGGAGAAGGGCGCCTGGTGCTTACCGGAGGTGTAGCGCTCCAGTCAGTTGTTTACTTCTGTCAAAATGGTCTTCCCGCGCGGGAGTCCCCGGCCTAGAGGAGCCCATTCACCGGCTTTGGGGGGAGGCTTTCTATTGGACGGACTCCTGCTTGGGGGCATTTGCGTCTTTGCTGAAGGGAGCCGCCTGGGGAGCTGGGGACCCCCTTGGCTCGGGACTGCAAGCTCCTCCTCAGTCTGCTGCTCAGGACTCCTAAAAATAGTAACGGGCAGCCAAGGAGGGTTTTCGGATTTTTTTTAAAAAATGTTTATTTTATTGCGACCTCCCCCATTATAAACGGAGTGCTTGAAAAAAGATTTTTGATCATCCCATTCAAAAATGAGTGTTTCTTTTCAGGAGTGGAGACGTGTCTATCTTGCATTGAGTGAGAAAACAGAATGGAAAGAAATGCTACTTTCTTTGAGAATTGATTGCTGTTTGCGTGTGTTCTCAGAAATCTCTCTTTTGCTAGGTTATTATCCAGGGCTTTCGGAGTTACAGAGATCAGACAATTGTAGATCCCTTCAGTTCAAAACATAATGTGATTGGTAAGTGTTCTTGGATTACTCCATCATTCTTAACATTCCTTGTTGTTGAGTAGTGACCCACTCTGCACAGGGCTTCAGAGGAGTGACGGGTGGCGTTGAACCACCGACCTTGCAGTGAGCAGTCCGGTGTTCATCTTATGTGCCGCAATACCCTTTCAAGCCACATACTGACATCAAGAGACCGGAGTTGTTTTTTTGAGTATTACATGCATTTATCTATTTTAATTTTTCAGTGTGAAATCGCTTCTTTATTCTTTTATCTACACTGGTAAATTGCTTATTTTGTCCATTTCAGTGCTTGCATAAGAGAGTAGTAGTAAGTTACTCAATTTTATTTGAGTAATCTTGTGTGTGTGAAAATGCCTTTTAGTATCTTTGTCCTTAAGTGCTGTGGATTCAGTTCCTACCAGTAGTGACCATGAATAGAGTTTCTGAGGATCAGCTGGTGAGTGTGGAATGCCACCCTTACGGTTAGCAGTCCAGTGCTTATCCTACAGCACTTAGAGAACGATTTAATTTAGTGAATTCAGTGTTTGAGTTATTCTGTTCTTGATAAGTCATATGTTTGGTTTGCTCACTACTATTTTATTCAATAGATGATCATGCTTTAGTCAAGGAGCTCTCTCTGGTAACGTAGTGGTTATGAATCAGGCTGCTAATCTCACGGTCAGCAGCTTGAAACAACCAGCTGTTCCACTGGAGAAAGATGAGGCTTTCTGCTCCCGTAAAGATTTACAGCCTCGGAAACCCTGTGCAGGGTCTCTAAGAGTCAGAACCGACTCCACGGCACATAACAACAACATGCTTTGGTCATAAATTAGATTGTTCTCAGCTTTCTTTTCTTGTCATAATGTCTAAGGGAGGACATTGCAGCTTGGTGGGAAGGGCATAATTTTGGAATCAAACAGAATGGGGTTCAAATGATCTTAGAAGCTTTTGTTTTTTTATTTAAGTGGAGATAGTGATAGCCCCTTCATAGGTCGTTGGGAAGATTAAATGAACAAGAATAAAGGATATATGTAAGCATTTGGAAAAAAAACTAAATAATTAGTGGTTGCCATTATATAAATTTTGGACTCCTCTTGCAGTGCTGTAGGATAAGCACTATCAGTGGCTCAAACCACTCAGTCCTTAGGAACCCTATACAAGGGTGCTGTGAGTTGGAACCAACTTGACGGCACTTCATCACAACGATTATGTAATTTTCAGTCTTCAGATTACAGTGCCCATTTTGCTAATATAGTCAACCAAAGTGTTTTCTGTCTGTCTGCTGAACTGTTAAAGGACAGATGAAGTTGTTAAGTGTTAAGTTCCTATTCACAGTGACCCTGTATAGGGTTTACCAGGGAGCAGCTGGTGGGTTTGAATCATCAACCTTGCTGTTAGCAGTCCAGTGCTTATCCATACCAAGATTCCATAGAGTGCTTCTAAATGTGCTCTTGACGCACTGGGCTCAAGTGTAGTAACGATTTTTGAGGATGGTGCCGAGCAGTGTTTTGTCCTGTTATGCATAGGGTCGCTGTGAGTTGGAACTGACTCTATGGCACCTAACAACAACATTGACTCAGAGTTCTGTCATACAGCTCTCATCATTAGGTTAAAGTTAGATTTACAAAGAATTGTATAATCATATTCCTTTATTCTGTATAATAGTTTTATTTGTACTCCATACATCAGTTGCAGCCTTGTAGTTGGGAATATAGAAAGAACACTCTTCTTGCTCCAGCTACTGAAAACTTAGCAAGGATTGTGAGGACAGCATAGGTCTAGGGAGTATTCTGTTGTACATGGTTACTATGAATTGGAACTGATTTTGATGGCACCTAACAACAACAACGGAGCCCTCCCTGGTGTGTCGCTGTAGTTTAAGCACTGGACTGCAAGGTCAGTTTGAACCACAGTGTTGGTGATTCAATACCAGCTGCTCTATGGAAACTGTAGAGGAAGATTCTCAGTTAGGTGGATTGACACGGTATCTATAACAGTGGGATGAAGCATAGCAAGGATTGTGCCTAGTGGGGTTGAACAGCTGACCTTGTGGTTCACTGATCCTACCTATCTTACTGTTTTATTGAAAGTGGAGCCACTTCGAATGAGTTCAGTTCCAGGCCTGAAGGATGAGTAATTGAGGATTGTATTAGTCTCTGTGGTTCCGTCATTTTCTATCAGACCAGTAAGCTTGGTTTTTTTTTTTTTTTTCCATGTTTTTGAGGTTTTTTTCCCCACATTTTTCTCACACTCTTTCTAGGACCTCCTGTTGTGGTCCCTTTCAGAACAATCAGCAAAGACAGCAGAGCATCAACTAGTTCTTTTGGTCTCAGGGTCATGGAGACTGGGGTTCATGTTAGTTCTATGGACTGATTGTTTGCTTTGCATCTTTAATTTCATCACTCTTTTTCTGGACTGGGAGAGACCCAATAGTTGATGACCATCAAAAGTGGTTTTACTACTTTGGTTGCAATATATACATTGCCAATAGTCACTTTTATAAAGGAAAATTGTCTAAGTATTGTTTTAATTAAAACTCAAGCTTTACTGATTAATCTGCTTTAAACATATAAAAACTTATCTTAATAATGCAGCAAAGATAAAAAGTCATGCATATTGATTGATGTATTAAAAAATGAATCAGTAAGACTTGAAGCCAGATACCTTTATGTTAATCTTCGGTATGTGTGTCAACATACTACTTTATAAGGTTATTTTTTCTCTAGTCTTTTTAGCAGCAACAACAAAAAATGCACGGTCATTATATTCAATATAGTATGATGTGGAGGAGCAGAAAAACTAAAGGAAGAAAATTTCAATGAAGTGTAATTTTTCTTACAAGTGGCAGTCATTCATAATATATTAATGAACTGAGTCCTGGTGTGGCGCTGTGGATTAATATGCCAGACTGCAAAGCCATTTGAACTGCAAGGTCGGCAATTCAAGCTCACCAGATGGTCCTAGGAAACCCTATACAGGGTCGCTGTGGGTCGGAACCAACTCAAAAGCACTTAACAACATACTCATGTTAGCCATGGTTTCCTAGAAAATAGAGCCTAAGGCTGGTTTAACTACCAAAGATTCAATGGACGTGCAGTCTGAGGGTAAGAGTGAGGAGCAGAGCTTGTCACAACTCTATAAAGAAGACACAGCTAGTATGTGGTCATGTTTCATAATTTCCAAACAGACTTTGTTAGACCCACCATGCATTGGAAATGTCAAATGGAAGAGGAATTTGTTACTTGACTCGTCTTTCATTGGTTCACAGATGTGACCTGAATACTCCCCTGTTGTTGTTGTTTAGTGCTGTCGAGTCGGGTCCGACCCATTAGTGACCCTGAACAGGGTTTCCGAGGCTGTAAATCTTTACGGGAGCAGAAAGCCTCATCTTTCTCCTGGGGAGCAGCTGGTAGTTTCGAACTGCTGACCTTGCAGTTCGCAGCCCGATTCATAACCACTATGCTACCAATACTCCCCTAGGGTGGGTTAAAATAACCAGAGATTACAGAGAACTCAGAATATTCACTGACAGGTAGCCAGCACCTGGGTTGGTATGGATAAATCTTGGGGAGGGGGGGCATGTGAACTGGGTCTCCCTGAATACCTTTTCAGTCTTTGTATACATCTGCAAGTATGCCCCCCCTTTTCTTTTTTTTTTTAATGTTCAGAGTATAATCTGTTAATATCTTTCTCTCCTTTCCTTATTGAATATAAGTGCCTTTGAGTCTGTTTCGACCCATAGTGACCCTGAATAGGGTTTCCAAGAAGCAGCTGGTGAACTTGAACCACTAACTTTGTGGTTCAAACTGATTTTGTAATATAGCACATTAACCCACAGCACCACACCAGGATGAGTACTTAGCATCCTTTAAAATTGATCTACTGTTTTACTTTGGGAGTCCTGGTATGGCATGAAGTCATTCTTAAATGACTTTAAAAAAAAAAATGCTTATAAGTGGGCTACTATTGAAATATATGTATTTGTTTAAAGGTAAATTGGAGTCCTTGTATGGCTCTGTAGGATAAGCACTAGATTACAAGGTCAGTTTGAACTATAAGGTCGGTGGTTTGGACTTACCAGTCTCTCCTCACAAACCCTACACAGGGTTGCTATGAGTCAGAATCAACTCAACAGCACTTAACAACAATAAGGACACATTTATATTTTTCAACTTGTTATTTTGAAATTTCAGATTTACAGAAGAGTTGCACAGAATTATAGAGAATACTCTTCTACCCTTTATCTCCAGATTCAACTATTCTCATTTCCCTACTAGCTTTATCATTTGCACTTGCTCTCCCAATTTTTCTGTACACACACACTTTTTTTTTCCTTAGTAAGCTATAATATCATCGCCCTCTGATTTCAATGTATATTTTCTAAGAATAGAATATTCTCTACGTAATCAGAGTACAGTTATCGACTTCAGCAAATGTGACATTACTAATCTGCTGCTCATGTTCTGGTTATGTTGATTGGCCTAGAAATGTCTTTACAGAACTTTTTTTTTTTTTTTTTTTTACCTCCAGTAAGTACAGTATCTAATTTAGAATTAAGTATTGCATTTAGTTGTTATGTCTCCTGTAATTTTTTCTATAGGCAGTTGGGTGGTGAAATGGTTAGGCACTTGACTACTAGCTGAAAAGTTGGCAGTTTGAACCCACCCAGAGACATCTTGGGGGAGATAGGCCTGACAGTCTATTTTCAAAACATCACAACCTTGAAACCTTATGGAGCAGTTCTGTGCACTTGGGGTTGTCATGAATCCGAATCAATTCAGTGGCAACTAACAGCAATCCTTTACAACTAAAAGCAAAGCCTTTCGTTGTCTTTTATAGCTTTGTTATTTAGAACTGATGTCTTTCTCAGGGTAGCACATCTGGAGGCACATGTACCCTTAGAGATACTGCTTTTGGTCACTTAGTGAAGGTGTTTTTCTATTTCCCTGTTGTATGTTGTTGTTCTTAGGTGCTATCCAGTCAGTTCCGACTCACCGCGACCCCGTATAGGGTTTCTGAGGTGCAGATGGACAGTTTGAACCGCCAACGTTGCATTTCAAACCAACCGTGAGGTCGAGTGTTTATCCTATGGCACCACACAGTTGCTGTTTTATACCATGTAACTAATAGCATTTTAGGACTATTTGAATATTCTCATCAAAATTTCCTCAGTAGTTTAGCATTCTAGCCTTCCTGATAGTTCCATTTGCAGTATTCCTTCCACACTTAGCACATGGCATTCTACTATAACCAAGATTCTGCCCCCCCTCCTTCCTTATTTATGATTAAGAATTTCATTACTGTTCTTAATTATTTTGGTGCTCTACTTGCTGCAGATTTGGCCAGTAGGAGCCCCTTTTATAATTATTCCCTTACTTTGTGGCATAACATATCCCTTTATTTGCATTAAAGTGGTAAATTAGGATTAGGCAGTTAACTTGCCCATAATATTAACTATATTTTAGTTAATATAGACATTTGCATAGTTTTATTATTCTTAACTTTGAAATATTTGCTTAACCAAAGAAATCCAAATGTGAGTTAAATCAGAAACTTCATATTTTATGTATGTTGTTAAGTGCAGTCGAGTTGGTTCCGACTAATAGCAACCTTGTATAGGGTTTCCAAAGAGCAGCTGGTATATGAAACTGGTTATCTTAAAGTTCAGGTCATTGTTTAAAAAAATGCTTTATAATTGTCTAGACTTGTTCTGGCACAGTAGGATTAGCATTGAACTGCTAATTGCAGTTCAAACCCACCAACTGCTTCATGGGAGAAAGATGATGCTCCCATAAAGATTTACAGCCTTGACAATCTTAAAAGGAAAGGGGTCAATATGAGTTGGAATTGACTAGATGGCAGTGGATTGAGTTGGTTAGTGGACTTGGTTCTGTGAGACTGAATGATAAATAGGGTTGATCATAGACAGCTTAGTATGTAAACAGTTTTGAGAATTTTAAATGATTAGATATATATTAGAATGTTGGCAATATATGATTCTTTAAATTGTTAAAAATACTTTTAATATATAATTAAACTAGAATTTCATATTTATAGTCATGATTATAAATTATGAAATCCAGTTATTAAAGTCATTTCTATTAATTTCAAATAGTTGAGAGAACAAAACAATTAATAATAAGTTTCTTTTTAAAAATATATGGAGTTTATAGAAAACTTGCATTCATGTGGTGAGTGAAATTGCTTTGTTTATTGGTTTCTTTTGTTGAATGTGTTACATTTAATTTTAAATATTAAGATGTAAGAAAATTAGAAAGAATTTTAATAGTTTATTTTTATAGTTACTAAATTTTATGTTTTTTTTCTAATAAATAATATGTATTTTTTGAAAATTTGTAGTGGGCAGAAATGGATCTGGAAAAAGTAACTTCTTTTATGGTATGTATTCTTTTTGAATTTTTAAATATGATAAGATCTAGATATCTTCTATTAATTTACTAAAAGCATTCATTTTCTGAGGTTCTATCTACATGAAACCCAGGAAATCTTTCTTCACACTGAATACTGTTTTAGTGTAGTTTCGAGTCTGAGGATCTAAATTCAGTTTTATTCCCACTGATTTATTAGCTATGTGAAACTAGATAAAACATTTAACCTCTCTGATTATTTTTTTGACTATAGAAATGGAGATATTTGCCATGCCTATTTTAGATAGCTTGTGAGAATCAAATGAGATAGTACATAGGAAAATGCTTTTAGAACTTGTGTGCAATATATAAATGTTATGTTTTGTGTATTTCTAGCAATTCAGTTTGTTCTCAGTGATGAGTTTAGTCATCTACGTCCAGAACAGCGATTGGCTTTGTTGCATGTAAGTGAGACTGCTTTAAGACATTATTAATTATGTGTAAATGTAAAAAAATAATATCATAAATCCCAGTGGACAACATAATTTATTCAAGTAAACATGTCTCAGGCTATCCCTTGTGTGTTATTCTGCTGTGAAATTTGTTGTTAAGTGCCATAGAGTTGGTTCTGACTCATAGCGACCCTGTATAGGGTTTCTCAGGAGCGTCTGGTGGGTTTGAACCACTGGCTTTGCTGTCCAGTGCATTATCCTTCAGTGCCACACCAGCTACTATATTAATATAAAGGATATAGTAACCAAGCCCTAGTGACAATATGGTTAAGTGCTGGGCTGCTAACCAAAAGGACAGTGGTTCAAACTCACCAGCTACTCCATAGGGAAAAAGATAAGGTGATTTACTGTTTTAAAGATTTCAGCCTAGGAAACCCTCTGGGGCAGTTCTATAGAACACAATGAAACCATCAACATATTAATGTAGGACTTTCTGGCTGGTGCAAATGGTAATATACCAGCTATAAAACCAAAAGGTTGGAAGTTTGAGTTTACCCTGAGGTGTGTCAAATGAAAGGCCTGTCATCTGCTTGCAAAAACGTTAACCATTGAAAGCACTGTGTAACAGTTCTCCTATGGCATAGTGTGTGTCTCCATGGGTAGAACTGACTTGATGCCAATTGGTTTGGTAATACTAATAAAGGATGAAGGCTTAATTTCTATATAATTCTAATATAATTATATTAGCAGAACATTGTAAGGCTTATTGTAGTAATTTTCTTTATTGTTAAATATGTGGTCTGCTGAAATACAAGAAGCAAATTGGCTGAATTAAAAAAAAGAGAAGAGTATAGGATTGGGGATTGTTGTCGTTAAGTACCATGGAATCAATTCTGACTCATAATGTTTCTGCACAGAGTTTCCGAGTCTATAAATCTTTACGGGAGCAGAAAGTCTCATCTTTCTCCCCTCAAACGGCTGGTAGTTTTGAACTGCTGACCTTGAGGTTAGCAGCCTGATTCGTAACCACTATGCTACCAGAACTCCTTAAGGATTGGGGATTAGGAATTTTGTAATACAGAATCAGAATGTAGAGGCATAGAAAAGCAACATTGAAAACTAAACAGCATACAAATTGTCTAAGCCAAAATTATTACTTCAAAAGTAACATTTTCCAGTATGAAAGAATGTGGTGTTTGTGGTGGTGTTCCATCCAGTTGGTTCCAATTTACAGCAACCCTTTATAGGGTTTCTGAGACTGTAAATCTTTATGAGAGCAGAAAGCTTTCTTTTTCTTTCACAGAGCTGCTAGTGGATTTGAACTTCTGACCTTTTGATTTAGCAGCGTGACACATAATCTACTACTCTATCAAGGCACCTTATGATAGAGTATTGTTGTAAATCTTAACGGGAGCAGTAAGCCTCATCTTTCTCCCGTGGAACTGTTGGTAGTTTCGAACTGCTGACCTTGAGATTAGCAGCCCAACTCGTAACCACAACACTACCAGAGCTCCTTATGATAGAATATACAGTAATGAAAATTGTTAGAATTTTCATTAGCTAGTAATGAGCTACAGTTACCTTAGGATAAAATTTTATATGGCTATTTAATAACATGGAGTCCTGGTGTGGTGCTGTGGGTTAATGTGCTGGACTGCAAAGTCATTTGATTCTCAAGGTGAGTGGTTCAAGTTTGCCAGTCACTCCTTGGAAACCCTATACAGGGTTGCTATGGGTCGGAATCGACTCAGCGGCACTTAACAACATCAACAACATATAATAACATAAGGCGCTCTGGTAGTGTAGTGGTTATGAATTGGGCTGCGAACCTTAAGGTCAGCAGTTTAAAACTACCAGCTGCACTGAGGGCGAAAGATAAGGCTTTCTGTTCCTGTAAAGATTTACAGCCTTAGAAACCCTGTACAGGGTCGCTATGAGTCGGTTCTGACTCCACAGCATATAACCACCACCATATAATAACATGATGACACTTATCTTTCTGATTTGAATACTAAGGGATGTCCGTTATTTTTAATTACATTATCCACAAACTTTGTGAAGTCCCCTCATATAGCTTGGAATTTATTATAAGGCCAGAAAGGGAAGTGCCTTAATGTAGCTTGGCAAAGTGAATGTCTTTCATATTTGATGTGTTCTTTTTGTTTAACCATGTGTATTTTTTTCCCTCTTAAGCTTGAATTCATAGCCTCATAATCAGGACTGATTCTCTGTAGAAAAACCTAGGTTTCTCACAACACAAATTAATAATCATTTTATGATAACAGTTTCTAGAACCTTGGTATGTGGTGGTTAGGTTATAAGATTGGTCTAAATATGATACATATTGAATGTGTGTGTTTCTATGTTGTTGTTAAGTGCCGTCAAGTTGATTCTGACCCATAGTGACCCTGTATAGGGTTTCCAAGGAGCAGCTGGTGAGCTTGAACTGCCGACTTTGCAGTTCAACCGGCTTTGCAGTCAGGCGCATTAACTTACAGCGCCACACCAGGACCCCATAGCAGATTTAAAATTATGTTGTTATTGTTAGGTACCATCTAGTCAGTACGAACTCATAGCGATGCTATGCACAGCAGAACAAACACTGCCTGGTCATGGGCCAGCCTCACAGTCACTGCTACGTTTGAGCCCATTGATGCTGCCACAAAATTATATAGACATTCTTAAATGTTTAAAGAAACACTGTTCTTTCTACACTTAGGTGACTCTCAGAGTAATCCACTATCTCTGTGGTTTTGACAAGAGCTCTATACTAGTCTGATAGAGTTTTTTCTCCATAGAATGAGGCTTGTTAACATGCATTAATCTTTTAAAAAGTGTTGAAAGACTATGAAAACACCACTGAAATGGAAAATGTGCTGTGTTTTTTTGTTTGTTTTTAAATGTTTTAGGAAGGCACTGGTCCTCGTGTTATTTCTGCCTTTGTGGAGATTATTTTTGACAATTCGGACAACCGGTTACCAGTGAGTTATTCTTTGTTTTTAGTAATGTTTAGAATTTTATTGAAGGAATTAAATATTTTTCATACTTAGTAGCATTTTTTTTATAGCTGTACTTTAGCTTTTATACGTGAGCATATGTTAAATAACTTCACAGTTTACACACTAGTTTTGTCTTAAACATTTTGGGAAACTAGATGGGAATACAGAAACTTGTGAAAACTGTCTGTCATGAGAATTGGGTACTCCTTCATAGCATATTCTTAGATAAGAAAATTTACAGTCAGGGAACTTTCAAATGACCTAAATTACTGAATTGAGCACTCATTCATAGCATGTCCTTCGATATGGCTAATTTACTGAAACAAGTTTCCTACTTTTTCTGTTTTAATTTTGTGCTTTAAAATGTTTTAATAGATTGATAAGGAGGAAGTTTCACTTAGAAGAGTAATTGGTGCCAAAAAGGATCAATATTTCTTAGACAAGAAAATGGTCACGTAAGCATTTTTCTTCACATTTACTTTTTTTTTTTTTTTTAAACAAAAGCGTAGACATATCCTTTTATTTGCTTCATAAGTGAGGCATATTGCCTCATGTGAAACAAGTCAGTATTTTAGCATAAAGTAAGAATCGTAAGATTTTCGAAGGCTGACGACACATGTAATGAATGATATTCTTTTCTTTCCTATTTTGCTTATTGTTGAATGCTTTGAAAGTATGTATCTAACAAAGGAATTTCACTATTTCTCAACAGGAAAAATGATGTGATGAATCTCCTCGAAAGTGCTGGCTTTTCTCGAAGTAATCCTTATTATATTGTTAAACAAGGAAAGGTAAAAAAAATTCTGGTCCCTATTTATAGAATTCATTTTCTGAGTATTCTTCACTTGAATGATGGGTTTGGTTCATTAATTACACTGGTTAAATTGAAGCAAAAAATATACCTTGTTTTCTGTGTTTTTCATTTACATTTATTGAAATAAGCATATCTTTTATCTGGTTATAAAGTAGCAAATGAAGACCCAATACATAATAGGGTGAAGTCCTTGTGTGGCACTAGAGAAAAAGCAAGCACTGGTCTGCTAACCACAAGGAAAAAGGGTCACTCTGAATTGGAACCAGCTTGACAGCAATTAACAACAACATAATAGGGTATCAGTTATGGGGGTCTTGTTTTCTTGGCAAAACCTGAATTATTCACTATATCCTATGAAGTTAGTTGAGAACTTAAATTATTTAAGAATCTTAAATATTTAGATGTTTAAAATCTTAACTTATTCTTAAATAGTCATTTATAAGATTCTTAAAAATCATCTATAATAACATCTATAATGTGGGAGCTTCAAAGAGTTCATGGAAAAATAGAACAGATAATGGAATTTTTCCATCAACTTTTTGAAGCCCCCTTGTATTAAAGAAAATATACAAAAATCCAATTTGAAAAATAACTTTCTAGAGTGAATATTATATTACTTTATCACAATTAGAATATAAAAAAGTCTATTTTCAGAGATCTTCAATAGTGCTGCATATTATTTTCCCTTATAGAAGTTATATTCTTTAAAATCTATAAGCTAAACTGTAAACGCCAATTGTTTTGCTATCTCCTTGTATACGTTAAATTGTCTCTAAGATAATTTCTTTTTCTGAATGCTTACTCCTAGGTACCCTAGTAGTTTTTTATAATATATGTTATTTGGAGGGTGAGTGGAAGGTGAAATGGGAATTCTAGAGCGGAGTTCTCAAAGAATGTTCAGTTCTTAATGTTATATTGGATGATTTTTTTAGATATTTGTTGGAAAATCATCATTTAGAAGTCTAGAAAAGTATGGCATTTTATTTTGGGGAAATGTATTGGAAGAAAAGGGTTTTGAGAAGACCTTCTTTACTATTTGTGTGCATTACATTTTTTAAAAGGAAATTAATTTGAAAGAGCAGTTACCTGAGTCTTCCCTCCTTGTTATTTTATGTAAGCCATCCATGACTACCTTATATTTGTAAGAGCACTGCCTCTGTTCACAAGTCTTCTCTGCTTTATTTTCCTTATTATGTCTTTTTTTTTTTTTTTCCCCACAGCACATACTACGCTATTACAAAATGTTTATTATCTAGAATGTAGGCTCCACAAGGGCAGGACCTTTTCTTTTCTAGTTGTTGCTGTATATCTAATGCCTAGCAGTATAGAACATGTGATACGCAAATACTACTTTTTTTGGAGTAAGTTGAATAAATGAATATGTTTAATTGAGATGTCCAGTGATGAGGATCTAAAAGGGGATTGTATTTTGATACATATATTCTTAGATTGGGGTTGGTACTTGTTTAGTATAAAAGTGTTAACAGTAACTTTTACTTTCTTTTCTTTCTTTTTTTTTTTTTTAATGCGACTAACATTTTTTTACAACTTCTTAATCGAAATTGAGTGAAGGTTTACAGAACAGATCATCAGTTTTACATTCAACAACTCATATACTTTGCTTCATTACAAAGATTTCAGTCTCTTCCATGTACCATCAGTTAACAGTATTTACTTCTATTCACTTTAATATTGCATTCCTCCCTATATCTCCTGTTACCTTTAGCTTTCCTCTGCTAACCTCTCCCTTGTTGTATACCTCTTGTTATGCTTACCTTCTAGCCCATGAACAATTTCCCCTCCCCCTAACACTTCTCCTACCTCTGTAACCATTATACGTTGTTGTTTTTGTTGAGTGCCGTGGAGTCAGTTCCGACTCATAGTGACCCTGTACTGCAAACCACAGTGCACAGTGTCGATAGTTCAAACCCACCAGTTGCTCCTTGGAAACCCTATACAAGGTTGCTGTGATTCGAAATTGATTCAGTGGCACTTAACAACAACATACAAATTAGTAAACTCATAATCTAAAGATAATCTATTAAGGATAAAGAAGTCAGCATTTGAGTATATGTATATTAAAAACTCTTTTAAGGCATACTGTTGTTTTTAAAGAGCTTTATATAGATGTGCAGTGATTATTTTTCTAAAATTTTTTAGATCAACCAAATGGCGACAGCACCAGACTCGCAGAGACTAAAGCTATTAAGAGAAGTTGCTGGTACTAGAGTGTATGATGAGCGAAAAGAAGAAAGCATCTCCTTAATGAAAGAAACAGGTAAAATCAATGTAATTAATGCTTTACCCCTACTTCTCATGTACTTTCTCGTTAGGCAACATTTCACATTTACATTAATAGTGAAAATATTTTAACTACTTTGTGCTTTAGCAATGTATAATTGTAGTGAGTACTGAAGGGTGAGGCAAGAGTAGCACAGACATGGTTTAAGGTTATGTGTCAACTTTGCTAAGTCATGATTTCAGTGGTCTGGCAGTTATATAATGATGTAATTTGGCAGTTCCGCAATGTTGTGGTCATCCCCCATTTCCCCTAACACCGATTTTCATATGATGGCCTGGTCTTGGAACCTAATCATGTCAGTTAAGTGAAGAGTGAGTGTGTTTCTTGTTTTGCAAATTATTGTATAATAGTCAAAAGAAGTTATGTCTCTTTTGTATTCTCAGAAGTATATTGTATGATAATTTTCCTATGTTCAAAATGGAGAGAAAATTAGTTTGAGGCACTTAAGGTTTGGAATTTCTAATAATTCATCTCTCTGGATAAAGATTTTGGAATTTCTAATAATTCATCTCTCTGGATAAAGAAATAGTGCTGTTAGGGAAAGAGTACTTTTGCAGGCCCACTGTTTTGTGCCTTTAGCTTTGTCATCTTTGATAGGATCAGAAGTTTGGATGCATTCCTTTTAAAAAGATTTTTTTTTTTTTTTTGCTGGAGTCTGAATTGGCATTAAAGTTACTCAGAGCAAATAAATACAAAGTTTGAATTTTGAATCTTCATTAATATATTTATTATGGAAACCTTACTTTGCTTTTAAAGTACTATGTCATATTTTGGCTAGAGTTACCCTTGAGTTCAAAATCTGACTAATGAACTGACTTGTGATCTTTTGTGTCTGTAAAGTCATATCTCATAGTTGGTGTTGATGAGTAATGGAACAGAAGAGCACTGTGACTGGGATATAGTAGATATTTGGCAGTTACAAATAATGCTATTATTAATAGAAACTGAGAATTGGTAACACTGACAACGTAACGTTAGTTGGTTTTTAAAATGTTGTGAGAAGGTGCACTGGCTTGAAAGGAAGCTTAAGTTGAGAATCTTGCCACATGTATTAAAAGAATTATTGTTTTTTGTGTGTGTTCTTTGATGCTTTTTATAATAAGGCATCTGAATTGCCATTTTCGTATCTTAAGTTTGGTTATACATAATTTAATTCCAAGAGATGTTGTTAAAACTCTTAAGATTAAATTTAACTCATGGTTTATCCATAAAGATTTTTATTCAACTCCTTTTTTCCCCCCCTCCCCATTTTTTTTTTTAAAGAGGGAAAGCGGGAAAAAATAAATGAATTACTAAAATACATTGAAGAGAGATTACACACGTTAGAGGAAGAAAAAGAAGAACTAGCACAGTATCAGAAGTGGGATAAAATGAGACGAGCCCTGGAATATACCATTTACAATCAGGAACTTAATGAGACCCGTGCTAAACTTGATGAGGTAGAATATTTACATTTATCACTTAAATCCATGCTATGTTTACACTTTCAGTGACTAAATAGAAAGCTAAAAAGAACTTTTCCTGAATGAATTCGTCACCAAATGTTTTTATTTCAGTTTACTCAAAGGAAAACTAGTTCTCATGTAGACTGATGTAGTCCTTGTAGTTGTGTCTGCAATAAAACTGGATGGTGATGTCAGGCAGACCAGGCTAAGAGGAGAGCCACCTTTCAAGCTCCTTGGATTTTTTTCCCCTTAGCTTTTTAAAATAAATTTTGTAATTAGTAAGAAAACCAATCTTATTATTATTTTAGATTTTGGTAAAACAGCCCTGGTGGCATAGAGGTTACTTTTAAGCACTCGCTTCTTAACTGAGAAGTCTCCTGTTCAAGCCCACCAACCATTCCTTAGGAGAAAGATGTAGCAGTCTGCTTTTGTAAAGATTTACAATCTTGGAAACCCTATGGGGCAGTTGTTCATTGTGATACAGGGTCTCCTATGAGTCAGAAAGTTGACTCAATGGCAATGGATTTGGTAAAAACATTTAACTGAATGATTACTTTTAGTTTATTTTAACAGATACAGTAAAACACTAAGACTAGATATTATGACATATTAAAATACAACATGGATTAGAAATAATTATCTTTTTGGTATTTTTTACCCTCTAGCTTTCTGCTAAGCGGGAGACTAGTGGAGAAAAATCCAGACAATTGAGAGATGCTCAGCAGGATGCAAGAGATAAAATGGAGGTAAGATTATAAATGTACTTGAGCCTACCTTGTAATTTTTGATCTCAGTAAACCTTTTATACCAGAATTATGGAGTGGTAGTCACAAAGGGGAGTCAGAGAAGAGAGTGAGGATTGGAAGACAGAGTACAGATTATTTCCAGGTTACATATATAATCCTAGGTTTGTCTTTAAGCCAGATTTGTAGCTAAGTTGTAATAGATGCTTATTTTTCTTATTTAGCCTTACTTTAGTACAAGAAAAAGGACAAGCACTGGAATACTAGCTGTAAGATTGGAAGTTCAAATCCACCAAATATTCCAGGGGAGAAAGATGAGACTTCCTTCTGTAAAGATTTATAGCTTCAGAAAACCTGTATAGAGTCGCAATGAGTAGAAATCAACTCAGTGTCATTGGGTTTATTGCTAGTAGGGATTGGTTTCATTATTTCAAAGTGAAGGTAAATTTACATAACATGAAAAGCAGGTGAGAGTAGTAAATCAGAGGTTTGTACCTGGGGACTTAATACAGTACCCAAATTGTAAGTTTAAAAAAAAAAAGTCAAGATAGTATTAATGGTGTCATAATTCTGCTTGTTGTACACCTAATTGCATGATTCCTTTCTCTTTCATGTTTTTTGACTAGGATATCGAACGCCAAGTTCGAGAACTGAAAACAAAAATTTCAGCTATGAAAGAAGAAAAGGAACAGCTCAGTGCTGAACGACAAGAACAAATTAAGCAGAGGACCAAGTTGGAACTTAAAGCGAAGGATTTGCAAGATGAATTGGCAGGCAATAGTGAACAAAGAGTAAGTTAAAACTGTGAAACTGTTGAGGTAAATAGAAACTAAGAAAATCCTTTTTGTGATGGGTATATGCTTGGATTTTTTTAATAAGAGACTTACCACATTAAGATAAGTGGCATTCAAATAGCAATTCTGTTTGTAATGTTAAAAGAAAATTTTGTTTTATGTTGCAAGTTCCATTATCTCATAAGCTTTTTAGGTTTGTTTGTTAATTAATAAAACAATTCTATTAATTTATGTTACAGAAACGCTTATTGAAAGAGAGGCAGAAGCTACTTGAAAAGATAGAAGAAAAGCAGAAAGAACTGGCAGAAACAGAACCTAAATTCAACAGCGTAAAAGAAAAAGAAGAGCGAGGCATTGCTAGGTCTGGGATTTTTCACCATTATTTTCTACATAGTTCTCTATATAGAACTTAATTATGGAATAAGAAGATAGGAGTCTGGTGTGGTGCTGCGGGTTAATGCAGGGAGGGTTATAGGTCAGTTTGAACTGCAAGGTGGGCAGTTAAAGCTCACCAGCCATTCCTTGGAAACCCTATTTAATAGGGTCATTATGAGTTGAAACTGACTTGAGGCACTTAACAACAACAACACAGTCATTAAGGGCAAAAGATAAATATAATGCTCATTTGAAAAATAATAGCCACTATTAGGTAACTAATGTGGGCCCAGTACACATTTCCTACACTTTTTCTACTCAAAAACCCCAAGAGATTGACACCCCCATTTTTAATTTTAACAAACTTGAGGATCTAAAAGCTTTAGTATCCTGACAGAGATAAATAGCTACATACTGTTAAAGATTTTAAAAACATGCTAGTTTGTGTTTTTTTTACCCAGATAACATCTTACTGTCCGTTCTGGTGGCTTACATGTTGCTGTGATTCTGAAAGCGAATGCCACCGATATTTTAAATACCAGCAGAGTCAACCATGGTAGACAGAATTCAGGTCAGCTTCCAGACGAAGACAGACAAGAAAGAAGGAGAGACAGACTCTGACTGCTTCCGGATATTTAATCATTGAAAACCTTATGAATAGCAGTAGAGCACTGTCAGATGGCACCAGAATGTTGACTATTGAAATATGATGAGCACCAGAGTATTGTTAGATATAGTGTCAGAAGATGAGCCTGTCAAGTTGGCAGGCACTCAGAATGCAACTGGGGAAGAGCTGCTTTCTCAAAGTAGAAGAGAAACAGCTATAAGCATCCATTAATAATCAGAACATGGAATGTACAAAATCTGAACCTAGGAAAATTGGAAGTTGTCAAAAATGAAATGGAATGCATAAGCATCGATATCCTAGGCTTTAGTGAGCTAAAATGGAATTGGCTATTTTGAATCTGATAGTCATGTGGTTTACTATGCCAGGAATGACTAATTGAAGAGGAATTTGTTGTTAAGTACTGTGAAGTCGGTTCTGACTCACAGTGACCCTGCACAAGGTTTCCAAGGCTGTAAATCTTTACGGGAGCAGAACGCCTCATTTTCTCCTGCGGAACCACTGGTAGTTTCGAACTACTGATGTTGAGGTTGGCAGCCCGACTCTAACCACTATACTACCAGAACTCCTTTTATTGAAGAGGAATGGCATCGCATTAATCATAAAAAAAGAACTTAATAAAATCTTTCTTGAAGTACAATGCTGTTTGTGGTAAGATAATATCCATACACCTACAAAGTAGACCTGTTAATACCACTGTTGTTCAAATTTATGTACCAACCATTAAAGCCAGTCATGAAATTGAAGAATTGTATCAACTTCTTCAGGCAAATTGATCAAACATGCAGTCAAGATGTACTGGTAATTACTGGTGATTGGAATGCAAAAGTTGGAAACAGAGGGAAGATCAGTGGTTGGAAAATAAGGCCTTGGTGATAGAAATTATGCTAGAAATCACATGATAGAATTTTGCAAGACCAATGACTTGTTCGTTACAAGAACCTTTTTTAAACAGCATAAAATGACTATACACATGGACTTCACCAGATGGAATACATAGAAATCAGATTGGCTCCATCGGTGGAAAGAGATGGTGGAAAAGCTCTATATCATCAGCCAAAACAAGGTCAGGGACAGACTGTGGAACAGACCATCAGTTGTTCATATGCAAATTCAAGCTGAAGCTGAAGAAAATTAGAAGAAGCCCATGAGAGACAAAATATGACCTTGAATCTGTTCCACCTTAATTTAGAGTCATCTGAAGAACAGATTTGATGAATTAGACACTAAAGACCAACCAGAAGATTTGTGGAATGACATCAAGAACATACAAGAAGAAAGCAAAAGGTCATTAAAAGACAAGAAAGAAGGAAAAGATCAAAATAGATGTCAGAAGAGACTCTGAAACTCACTCTCTAGTGTTGAGATGCTAAAGCTAATGGAAGAAGTGAGGAAGGAGGTAAAAGAGCTGAATAGAAAGTTTCGAAGAGCAGCTCAAGTAGACAGAGTCGAATATTACAATGAATTGTGCAGAGACTTGAACTTAGGAAACCAAGAGGGAAGAACACTCAGCATTTCTCAAGCTGAGGGGCCTGAAGAAACAACTGAAGCCTTGACTTGTGGTATTAAAGGATTCTATGGGTAAAATATTGAATGACAGAAAACATCAAAAGAAAATGGAAGAAATACATAAAGTCACTACCAAAAAAGAAATGGTTGGTGTTCAACCATTTCAAGAGGTAGCATATGATCAAGAGTTAATGATACTGAAGGAAGAAGTCCAACGTACACTGAAGGCATTGGGAATACAAATTGAAGTCCTTAAACTGATGAAGCACTGGCAGTCTCACTAATTTATACCAAGAAATTCAAAAGACAACAACTACCTGGTCAGCTGCTTGGAAGAAATCCGTATTTGTGCCCATTCAAAGAGAGGTGACCCAAAAGAATGCAGAAGACATTGCACAATATCATTAACATCGCATGCAAGTAAAATTTTGCTAAAGATAATTCAAGAACGGTTGTAAATGTACAATAATAGAACTGCCAGAGGTTCAAGCTATATTCAGAATAGGACATGGGATGAGGGATATCATTTATTGATGGCAGATGGATCTTGGCTGACAAAAGAATGCCAGAAAGATGTTTACCTGTGTTTTATTGACTACACCAAGGCTTTTGATTATGTAATCATGACAAGCTATGGATAGCATTGCTGAGAATGAGTTTTCCAGAACACTTAGTTATGCTTATGAGGAATCTGTACATAGACCAAGAGGCAGTTATTCAAATAGAACAAGGGAACACTAAATCATTTAAAATTAGGAAAGATGTGCTCCAGGGTTGTATTCTTTCACCATACTTATTCAGTTTTTAAGATGAGCACATAATCTGAGAAACTGAATTATATGAAAAATGTGGCACCAGGATTGGAGGAAGGCTCATTACCAACCTGTGATTTGTTGATGATACAACCTTGCTTGCTGAAACTGAAGAGGATTTCAAATACTTAACTGATAAAGTTCAAAGACCACAGCCTTCAATATGAGTTGCACCTCCACATAAAGAAGACAAAAATCTTCACCAGTGGACCAATAAACAACATCCATATAAATGGAAAAAAGATTGAAGTTGTTGAAAGACTTCATTTTGCTTGAATCTACTCTCAACACTCATGGAAGCAGCAGTGAAGAAATTACATGATGTATTGCATTTGGCAAATCTGCTGTACACGTCTTTTAAAAATGTGCAACAGCACAATGTCAGTTTTAGGACTAAGGTGCACCTGACCCAAGCCATGGTATTTTCAGTAACCTTATATGTATGTGACAGTTGGACAGTGAATAAGGAAGACCGCAGAAGAATTGATGCATTTGAGTTAGTCATGTTGGAGGAGAATATTAAAAATATCATGGACTCTACTGTAAAAGACTAAGGGAAAGAACCCATACTAAAGGGGGGTAGGGGAGATTCTTTGTTGATTGTTGGGATGTTGGGGAGGGTGAGGGGAGGGAGGGGAAGGTGGAGCACAGGGCAGGGATTAGACACAGGATAATTTGGGTGTTGGGGAGGAGACAATATACAAGTAGGGAGAGGGGAATGGAAGAACAAAGCAGATGGGAGAACAATTAGGTCTCAGTGGGCTAATTGGGACAGAGGTAAATAATGATACTTGCACAACCTGGGAACAACAGGGTTCTGGGATACAGAGATTGAGCCATGGTTGGAATGGAGAAAAGGGGGGAATAATGTTAAGATGCTTGGCTGTCTTTTGAATCTTGGTTTTCTTTGCGTTATATTATAAACTAGACACTGGAGGGGGGAGAAAAAGGAATAGCGAAAAGCATAACCATAGAAAGCTTGTAAGTC